CCTGCACCCTCCTAGCCCCCACAGACACCAAGCCCACACCCATGGGTCTCTGATCTTCCCATCTACAGGTATTGGCCTCAATTCTAGGCCAAGGTCCCTGATGGGCACTGGGAGGGGGCTGGGCCTCCCAGGAGCATCTCTTCACCCCTCCCACCAACTCCCATCCTGCAAAGCTCCTCTCCCTGCCTGGGTGGGCAGCTCCTCACCAAGACTTAGCTCCTGTGTGGCCTGCAGTCCACCTGGGGCTGCCCTCTGCCTGCAGCCTACTGGCCTCTGAGCACTGTCTGGATTTAGCCATCGTCAGTGCCACCTGTGTCACCCAGTGGCATCCTTGCCTGGGACAGCCGCTGCATGCCTCCCGTAGGAGTTGTCCTGGAGCTGTGAGAGGGTTTGAGACAGGCTGGTGGGCGGGGACCACAGGACTCACACAGGCCTCACCCTGTCATTAGCAGGCAGGACTCTTCCTCCCAAGCCAAGAGTGCAGCCCAGATTCTGGGTCAGCATCCACCTGGCTGGCCCTTGTCCTCTACCTTGGCAGCCTCTGCCGCGATGGGACCACCTGCCCTGGCTTCAGCCCATCCTTCCACCTGGGGCCCATCTGCAGCCTGGGCACTGAGGTTGCTCAGCTAGTCTGGTCACATGTGACCCACCCACACTGTGACAGGAGAGTCTTGCCCCCTGAGTGAGGGAGGCTGGTGCTCAGGGGCCTCCAGTCTCTCTCAGATCCTGGGGGCTCTGGAGCCCCTCATGCCCACAACCTCTTTGGTCTGGGTCACAGGTTCTTCAGTTCAAAGCTGAACCAGGCATGGGCCTGAGCCAGGGCCACCTCCTTCCAAGAAGTCCTCACTGGATCACCTTTTCTATATGGCTTTTGGGGTGAGAGTTAGGTGTTGGCTAAAAGCATTCCAAAGAGAGGAAAACCACGCGTACACCTCTTCTGGGGCCTCGTGGTGCTGGGTCTTGTGACAGCTCCTGGAAAACATCACTAAACGGGACAGGAAAACCTGAGGGGTTTCTCTGCTCCCTGGAGTTCATTATGAAAACAGCTGAAAGTCGGCCCACGGAGGCACTGTGATTCCATCTCGGGATCAGTGGGCCTGGGAGGTTCCAGCACCGTCCACATGTGCCTCTGTAGGCGATACGACTAAACATAAGAATCTCATTCCATTTTAAATGCTTGAAAGTTAGCTCCATGTAGTACCTGCTCCTTAAGGACAAGTTGGAAAATGCAGAGAAGCCAGGGAAGGAAACAAAACCTAACTCTGGCCTCATCACTTCAGCACAACAAAAAACACAATAGGCAGAGACTTCTCGGATTTCTGGAATGATCACTAGCATTGACATGCACCTGGATTCCTGTGGCCCCTGATGGAAACCATGCCCCTAACCCTCTGTGGTCGCTCCTCAGTCTTCTTCCCAGAACGACTCCGGTCACACGTCATATTCCCTAAACGACAGAGCTGCAGTGACAGAGCTGAGAGTTCGAAGCCCAAGAGAAATCACACAAGCAGCAACAAGGGACGAGGGAGAAGGACCCCCAGGTGTCACTCTTCCCTGGATGACAAAGGTGATCTGGGGGTTGTAGAGTCATTGTCAGGACGACAGCCTGCTCCACTTGTAGAGTACTCCAGTCTCCAGGCCCAGACGGCGATTGGGAAACCGAGCCGTTGCAAAAGACATGAATGGACTCCTTCAGAAAGCCCCAGCCCAGTGGGCGGGGTCGCAGCCTCCTGTGCGAGCAGAAGCCCCCGGGGAAGTGGTGTGGCCGTTGCTCCTGGAACCCCATCGCCTGCCCACTCAGGCCAGCTAATTCTATTGGCCTGCACTTGATCTTTCCAGGAGGCCATGGAAGTATAAATAATAAAGCAAGAAGGGCAGATCCATTTGGCCGGCCCAGCAGATTCCTCCTGGAGGCTGTGAGTATGAAACCTTCCCTGTGGAAAGAGCCAGGGATTCCTGTGTCTTCCTCGGGAAGTTGGCTCAGATTGAGGGGATGGATCGTACTGTCCAAGGAGGGCGTCTTGAAGAAAATTCTAGGGGAGTTCTCACAGTTGGGGAACTGCCCTGGGGGAGTTTTGCAGGGCAGCCTCCATGGAGGCCCAGATTCACTCCCATGGGCTTCTAGGTCCAGCACTTTCCTAGAGGGACAGCCTTAGGGGTATGAGGACGGAGGTGGTCTGGAGAGGTGAGGTGGCCCTTCCAACTGGAGTCCACCTCTGACCTCTGGCTCTGGCCATGGTCAGCCTTGTCTGTGAGCTGTCTGTGTACCTTCAGCTCTCCCAGGACACAGGCTGTATCCATCAACCCAGCAGATCGTGGAAAGTGAGGCCAAGCCGCCTGTTTAGAGCGTTTTTTGAAGAATTGCCTCCACTAACTGGATTCCATGCTCACCCGGCGATGGCAACACGCTGTGACGCCAGTCTCTGTTCACGCTGGGCCTGGGCTGCCCCTTTATAGCACAAGTGGGCCTGCTGTTAATGGCCACTCAGGTTTTTCAGCCCCTGTATTCCCTCATTCTAGAGTAGAGTCACTGCACGGGAGGAGGACCAGCCAAGCAGAGAGGTGGAAAGTTCTTGAGGGTTTGGAGGAGTCTGTGGGGCTGGTCTGGGCTTCCCTTCTCAGGTGTGAGAGCTCCCTGTTGGCTTATTCTACAGCATCTCTGTGGGCCATTCCTGGGGCATTGTCACAGGGTCCCAGTACCTGGCTCCGTGACAGCACATAAAGTATTCCTAAAAAGACAGAAATCCTCAGGGCAAATTAATAAGTGGGGAGGCTCCAACCTGTGTTTCCCAGGAAGGAATGCAAAGGATATGGCGATGGTCAGTAGAATTTTTCTATGGGGCCTCTCCCACTTCCCACAGAGGGAAGAGGAGGGACTTTAGCACTCCTTGCTCTAAACTTGCTTTGTAAAAAAAAATATTCTTTAATCTCTAAAATGTGTAGAACAATTTTTCTCTTAAAACAATTTCAATCTTTTAAAATGGGTAGCCCACAGACCCTCCCTGGCATGTCTCTTCAGGTTCAGGGCTTTGGTTCAGTCTTATTTTGAGAGGCCAAGGCACAACTCTAGGAAAGTCCCTTCACTTCTTTGAGCCCCAGGGAGGACAAGGAGTGTACCCAAGTTCTACGCACTTTATCAGGGACTCCAGAAAGAGCCTGAGACAAGCTGGGGGCTTGGGGTTCCTTCCTCGGTGTAGGAAGGAATGACTGATGTGTCCAAGGGAACATTCTGGTTGCCCGATGCTCGCTCTGTTGGGCTGAAGACTTTGGGGATGGGAACTTGTCTGAGCTTTCTATCTATTGTCCCATTGACTTGAGGAAGGATGTCACACAACTTTTCCTGGCCAGCCAGCTTCATCACAGAGGAGAGAGGTAGGAGACTAGACATTAGCAAGGGTGGGGGGAGGCAGGGGGGGCCTTTCCCCTGAAGTGAGGGGTCCCACCTCTGTGCAGGAGCAGAACTTCGCAGCCCATATGTCCCCTGGTGGCTCCCCAATCTCGTCTCCCCAACCTGCTGGTGGTAAATGAGGAAGCACTTTGTAAAAATCACAGATCTCACCAGTGAGCCCTCTGTAGCCACACCCAGGGATCCAGCCAATCTCAGATCAAAAATATTTGGGCCAAGTCTGAAATGTTCAGATTTTTTTTTTCCTTGCCTATTCCCTAATCGATAGATTATGACAATTACTTATGTAATATGTCACATTAGGCATTATCAGTAATGTAGAGGTGATTTAAAGCACTTGGGAGGGTGCATGTAGGCTACGTGGAAAGACTGTGCTGTTTTATGGAAGGATTTAAACATCCAAGGATTTTGGCGTCCTTGGGGGATCCTGAGACTCACCCCCCATGGACACTGAGGGATGGATTATTAAGCCCACTGTCATACCTCATTTAGAGGGAAATTCCAATCAGGGCAGAGGGAGGTGGGGTGGTGCCCCCATCCCTCCTGTGGGGACCCCTTTCTGCAGGGTGGGGATTTGCAGCACCTGTGCTGCCAGAGCAGATGGTTTCTCACTTGGGTGGGGTCTGTCGTGTGGGTCAGTGAGACACTGTTTCATCTAGTCACAGGAGAAGGAAATTATTTGTCTAAATGAATAGGGAACGAGGGGCCAGAATAGTCAGGGAACGGACTTGCGTAGCCCTCTCTGCCCCTGGGTGTCCCACGGGGTTCCGTTTCTATCTGTTCTTTTTCCTCTTGATTTTATTTTATTTAGTTCAGGTGACAACCAAACACACACAGACACATTCCAAATTAAAACTCAACCAAGAATTGCTCAACGTAGGAGAGTAACCTATCAATTCATTGGGTAATAACCAGTTGCTCAGCTATTTTAATTGATGGAACAAAAAATTGAGCCTGCTCAGGCATCTGGCAAATGTGGGTCACTTTAGCATCTATGATGTCATGGAAAGGCCCACAGTGGGACTAGTGTGGGCTGGTGGGGAGCAAGGCCAGGCCCTTCACATTGGGGGGATGCTGGAAGGGATGGATGCCCAGAGACCGCTGGGATACAGGCTTGTAGAGGTAAGGGAGGCTGAGACCCAGCCAGCAAGTGCACTGCGTTCCCTGGGGTACGGCAAACAGCTGAGCAGCAGCATCTAGTGGGAAGAGGCCAAACTCCACAGTATCCTCAAGTTAATAGGCAAAGATACTTACAGACACCCTAGAGGGTAAAGAGATTTGCCTGGTGTCCCAATATGTATGTGGGAGAAGAACAATGCCTGGACTTTAATTCTCGGATCAGTTCTCACTTCTGAAACTGTAGTAGGTACAACTTGGTGGGGGTCAGCAGTTCCACTGCACAGCCAGTAGCTCATGTCATGCCGAGCCTTTCTGCCCGCCCTGTCCTGCCTCACACTCCGAGCTCCTGCCTTGTTGCTGCCAGGCTTTGCCCCTCAGGTGGCTGGCAACCCTCCTGCCAGCTACTGAGTGACATGTCCAAGCTTCTCTACTCGTAGGCATTGGGAAACAGCACCCGGCATGGCTGGCAATCCACTGGGAATAACAGAAACTTCTATTTTTAATCCAGGCAGCCTTTGGAAAACACAGTTCAGCCCTGGGAACTCCTGAGATCGGCTCCTTTCCATTATCTATTTTCTTTTGTTTATCTGAAGCATAATTAAGGATTCTACCTTTTTCTTGCCTACAGTCTATTTTCAGATCACCCATGGAGTCTGGGCTCATCACCAATTATTTTTAATTTTTACCAAAACATCGTCCTGGAGAGTGGAAGGTGCTTAGAGAACTCCTGGGCTCAGGAGATTCTTTCCAGAATGCCACAAACCCCCCAAGGATGTAAGGCCAGAGCATGGAGCCCCCACTTGATGGTTCTGGCATTGAAATATATACACATAATATTTGTCAAGATGCTTCTGGCTTCAGGACCTTGACCACATAACCTCACTGCCAGCGTGCAGGGAGGGTGGGCGCTGGCCCCAGTTTCTCTGCAAAGCCCTGCCATGCGCCCTCTTTGTGCTCTGGCTTGTTTTCCCTTACCCCTGGGGCTGTGTGGAGTCCCCTCCCTAGCTGCCAGTCTGCTGCCCAGGACATCCAGGAACGACTTAGGGCAGCATTCCCAGCAAACCACCAAACAGTTCTACAGCTCACCCTCATTGGACCACTTGAGTCACATGCCCCTCCCTGAACTTGCCCTCATTGGATTAGGCCGATCTCCTGGACCAATCAGTAGCAGGATAAGGAGATTGCCCTCCACCAATCAGGTCCTGCCTTGGAGCTAAAAGTAGAGTTACCTGGGCAGCTTGAAGGAGGAGTTGATAGTGGTTAATGTCCCAGGAAATTATATATGCCATGTCCTGCACCCTGGGGATTGCTCACAGTCACCAGCTGTCCAGAGTCCTGTCCCTAGGACTGAGTGGAGCTGGATGTTACAGGAGCTGCATCCTGGGTCTACTCCTTCTTTTTCTGGTCCTGATCCCTTTACTTCCTGCAGCCTCCTCCTAAGACAGCTGTCAGTCCCTGACATGCACCTGCTTCCAGGGAAACCAGTCTGAAGCAACCAGGGACAGCTTCCCTGCTGAGGAGCTCATCCTTTCCCCGGGAATTACAGACTCCTGGAGATGTCAGTTAGGGTGACACAGTAAGTGATGTAATAGAGGACCCAGCAAAGAGATCTGCCTTCGCTTTCCATGTAAATTAGTAAAAGCCAAATGAAAGCAGTGTACCCAACCAGAAAAATCAACAGACGTTGTAGAACATCAGGCTTTGGTGGCTCTCTGTCGCCTTAGGAGAGAGGGAGATGGAAGGAAAACATCCAACAAAATTCTTGTCCCCAGAAAGCTCACAGTGCCATTGGGAGGTGTCAGAGCTGAAAGGCTTTTGATGAGAGAGCACTCCTGCAGCCAGGAAGATGTGGCTTTTCCTCTCCATGCCACCACCCCTTCCCTTCCTTGGGAGGAGGTTTATTGGAGGCAGAGTTCTTTCTCCTGTAGAGGATGTCCATCACCTGGAGGTCACATGATCTTACACAAAAGAGTACCAATTCTGCAAATTAGTCACACTCCTTTTGGTTATAAGGAAAAAAAAATGTCCAACTCAAATCATTCAACCCTAAAATTGAAATCCATTGGCTCTCATAACTCAGAAAAAAATGAAGGTTGGTGGGTGGGCATCCAGTAAAGGTTGATCCAAGGACTCCAAAGATGTCATGATGAGCCACTGTCCATTTCTCTCTTTCCATCTCTCCCTGTCTTCTCTCCATGTAGAAGTCAGGACCACATTCAGTTTGGGGGGGAGGGGGGCTTTATCATTAAGCCAATCACCCCATAGTTAAGAGAACTTTGCATTCTCCAGGAAAGACCCCTGTTAATTTGATCTTGGTCACACTCTGATTTCTTAATCAGTGTGACATAAAGGATGAACTTTGATGGCGTGTCCTGGGTCCCATGCCCACACGGTGGGGCATTCTTATGATGAGGTGGAGAGTAGATGTTCCTCAAAGGAATGGATTCACTGCTACCATAAGATGGGGAGGGAAGTGAACAAGAGCAATCACTCTTGAGGGGCCCAGGGCCAGGAAGACATGGGACAGAGCAAGGGTGCAGTGCCAGGGAACACCCAGGTCTCTCACTTATAAAATGGAGATATGGGGAGGCTATAAATGTCATCCTGGATGTCAAAGCACTCAGCAGCCTCTACCTACAGCCCCTGTTAGTCACTGCGTCTCTTCTTCCACCTGGTCTTCTTCCACGTGGATACGGTGTGGGACAGTGGATCTCCTTTGATTTTCTCTGCTAACCTGAGATCTGCTACTCAACAGGACAATCCCCAAGGACAATGAACCTCCCACTGGGCCTGGCCCTGTTTCTGGCTGGCCTCCTCGCCACAGAAGGGCTTCTCTCGCCCAATGTCTCTCGACTTAGCTATGGAGACCTGAGCCAAGCCCAAGGGTCGAAAGCAAAGAGGATCGCCCATGAGCTGGCAAAGCGCAACATGGAGTTTGGCTTCAAGCTGCTCAAGAAGCTGGCCTCCAGAGGCTCCAGGCAGAACATCTTCTTCTCCCCACTGAGCATCTCCACTGCCTTCTCCATGCTGTCCCTGGGCGCCCAGGACTCCACCCTGGAAGAGATTAAGCAGGGTTTCAGCTTCAGGGAGATGCCCGCCAGAGACCTTCACCAGGGGTTCTATTACCTCATCCGCAAGCTGAACCAGGAGAAGCAGGGCACCAAGCTGGCGGTCGGAAACGTTCTGTTCCTGGATCAGAAGCTGAAGCTACAACGGAACTTCCTGAGAGAGACCAAGACTATGTATGAAGCAGAAACCGTGCCCACCAACTTCCAGGACTTGGAATATACTCAGAAGCAGATCAACAGCTATGTCAGTCAGAAAACCCAGGGGTTAATCAACAACCTGATCAGGAGTATAGACCCTGGCACTGTGATGATTCTGGCAAACTTCATTTACTTTCAAGGTAAGGTTTGAGACATGCTGGCGTGGAGAGGAGAGGATGACCAACAGGCATGGATTAAAAACCTGGGTTGGCCTCTTGCTTGCTCTTGACCTTGAATTTCTACGTAATGAATCTCTCACTTCATAGAATGAGGATATTGATAGATACCATATAAGGCTTTTTAAAGATGTAGTTGGATAAGTTTCAGTGGTATAGTGAATACCGAGTGGATGCTGGTCATCATAAACACTGTAGTCACTTTCTTTGTCTTTAAATTGAACACCGTTTACATATAACCCCTCTGGTTGTGTTTGGGAATTGAGGTGAAAATATTTGTGAAAAGTGCTTCATGAAGTCTAAATTGTTCTCTATATGTCCATTTTCATTATCACTGATTATCCTAACATGACACTAGTTGATGTGGTTGGAGTGACATTCTCATCTTCATTTCTTAGATGAGGAAAAAAAATGAAAATCGGGGATAGATTAGTTACTTATCCATGTTTCAAAGGCAGTCAGTGACAGTCAGGATTGGAACCCGTCTCTCTTGGCCTTGGGTGGGTATTTTTCCACTACACCAAGTTGACGCCCAGGATGGTGATTGTGTTTTGGTGGTGGTGATGATGAGTTTGGGGGTTGCCTTATTCTCCTCATCAGATTGCCTGACTTCCTTGTGTCTAAGAGAAAACCTGAAATAGACCTTCGTTCCCCCCTCTGCACACAGCCACTCACATACCATGTGCACACGCAGAGGTTGGCCAAAATAGGTGAAAATCACAGAGGCCAACGCCCCTCAGTTTAGACAAGATCTCTACGGGGCTGTCAATACCATGGTTCAGTTCTCCCAAATTTCACAAGGAAATTGATGGTGACTGAGCGGGGTTGGGGGGGGGGAATCCAAAATCACAGTCTGTCTAAGCCAGAGGGAAAGAAAAATGAATTTGGGATTTCTCAAAGGGCTTACATCCCCTACATCACCTCAGGAACAACAGTGACACCAATAATGCTGACGGTGACCACCATCCACTCAAAGATCACTATATCCACTTATTGAGCTTGGCTGCTTTATCCCACCAGGTCTCCAAGTGAACCTATGAGGTATCGGTCAATATCCTTATTCTTCAAATTAAGGACACTGAAGCCCAGGGAGATTGAGACACTCATCAAGGTTATGCTTTTAGAGCAGCGAGGCCAGGATTTGGACCCAGGGGTTGGCTCCCAGGGACCTATTCTGAGATCTGTGAGGGTAGCAGGTTAGAAAAGACACAGATCTGCATTTACGTGTGAGGGGGTCAAAGCATCCTCAGGATCAAAAAAGAGAGATCGAACACCCAGAATTGAGCGTTCATTCCTCTCCAGCAAGCTCCCGAGGGCAGCGTGTCCCCTTAGTTTTCTTGGCCCCAGGTGAGAGTGGCTTTGTCAGGGATGACTTGAAATAGAGCCAGGCATCTTCATTCAAGTCACACCCAGAGAGCCCCACTAATTGCAATCCAGTCCCCCCGCCCGACTGGGACATGATCTCCAGGCTTTCTCAGCTCAGGGCAGTCTACTGCTCTCCTCACCTCCTCATCCCTAATCCTCGTTTCTTTGAGAACATGCCACTGGACCTGAGTCCATCTCACGGGAAGTATCCGGGGCACAGGAAGAGGGCAGCCTCCCGGAGTTCTTCCCTGGTGCCCTGGAATACCCAGACCTCTTTCCCTGAATCTGCGTGGACAGAGGCTGGTGATTATTTGGATCTGGTCACCTCTTTTCTCTCTGGACACTCATCTCACTTTGCCTTTCAATCCTAAGCCAGGTGGCAACATAGATTTGATCCAAAAGAAACTAGAGAGGAAAATTTCTTTGTGGACAAAAGCAAAACAGTGAAGGTGCCCATGATGTTCCACGGAGGCATGTATGACGTGGGCTATGACGACCAGCTGTCCTGCACGCTCCTGGAGATCCCCTACAGTGGGAACATCACGGCCACCTTCGTTCTTCCCGAGGAGGGCAAAATGAAGCAATTGGAGGAGGGCTTGCAGGCGAACATTTTTGGCAGATGGAAAAGATTAATGTCAAAAAGGTAAAGAGGGAGCCTGGTGTAAGGAGTGTCTTGCTTCTCCCCCGCCCCCACCACTCTTTATTTCTTTCATCCCGAATTTATTAAGCTCTTATCACATGGCCAAGCCTTCTTCTGGGCTCTGAGAAGCTTCTGTTAGGGTAGGAGGTAGACGGGAGAAGTGTAAGAACACAGAAACACTTGACCCTGGAGAGGCAGTAAAACTGTGAGAGTGTGGTAGAGGTCAGGGAGGGCTTTCCAGGGGAGGTGGAATTTGAGACAAGACTTTAAGGCTGTGTGAAAGGCAGAGAAGCAATGGATGTCTTTACTGAGCATCTGCTATGACGATTATGGGACCTGGGCACCAGGAGGAGGCACCAAGAGAGAAAGAGACGATGCTAGGGTGGACTGGGCATCCATGGGGGAAGGCAACCCTTAAGGAACTTCAGAACACAGATCCGCTATCTAGTTACCTGAAAGCTCCTGACAGGGAAACTCTGGTTCCAGATGCTTCTGATCATGCCAGTATTGGGGGAAGTGGAGCTGAGTGGCAGGTCACCCCAGGAGGGCTCTGCCAGCCCTGCCTCTCCTCCCTGCTGTGGGAGCTGAATTAAAAATAGGGGTTTGGGTGAGGCCTGGGTTCTCTTCTGTGATTTGGCCTTGGTAGTGCCAGCCTTGCAGGACCTTCGAAGAGGCCTTGTGCCAATGTGACTTCTTTCCCCCTCCTTCTGATTGGTTGAAGAAGGAGGGCTCTAAAACTCTCAGCAGATCCTTGGAACCCCAGGCTTATTGAGTGACAGGTGTCCTGCAGTGTAGTCTCCATCCTCAGGGGGAACCCCGCATGGCAGCTCACCCCCTGATGTGAAATGCAGGCGTCTGTTAACACGGGGTGCCCCAAAGGGATGGGCAGCTTCCAGCCTGTGGTCCACAAAGTTGTAGAGTTCACAGGGGTGTCTTGGGTGCCTTTCTAGGTGCCTGAGAGGTACGGAAAGTGAAAGGAGGTGAGAAATGGGAAGAATGTCAGGCCCTTGGCCCTCAGTTCACCCGTACTTTCTGGCTCTGTGACAGGGACTGCAGTCCCATTGCCATCGGTGCTGAAAGCACAGTGGTTGGGTCCACTACCATTTTTCTGGTGCCCCAGAGCATCTCCAAGTTATTTGTGACAATTTCTCACAGGGCTGCCATTCTGGTGCTAGCCCTGGGGACTGCAAGTTCCCTCTCCCTGGCCCTCTGCAGCTTGTGTACTGTGACCATTGAGCCACCCCTAACTGCACAAGAAGCTCCTGAATACTGCTGCCATGTCTCTGCCTTCAGGATGAGGCCCACAGCCCTCCCTTTGTTTCCTGCCCAGGTGTGGGAAAGATGTTTTGAGATTTCCTGCAGGTTGGCTCCAGCCTTCCCAGAGGCCTGGGGACAAGGGAAACAAAGCTCCTCACAGGACAGGAATAACTTAAATAGCATCTCATGAAGTCCATGTGCATCTTGCCCTCAGGGTCTCTTCCAGGGCCCCGCTCCCTGTCCTAGGACCTGGTCTGCCTCCCCTACCCCATGAGACTGTTCCCAGGATCCCCATGACTTGAGATGGGACCTCCCTGGCAGAAGGCCATGAGAGGAGGATCCCTTTCACCAGATACATCCTGCCTCCTAAGCTCTGTGGCCTGGAATGACCAGTGGCAGTAATGCCCCCTCCTCCATAGGAAACCCCAGAGCTTCTTACTGGCTAGGGGACTTGCCTGAGGTCCTCAGGGGGTATTGCATGTCATCAGAACCCGACAGGCAGTGTTCCTACCTTCTGAACTCTTTCAGTCTGGCTGTCAGGTTGTCGGGTTGTCTTCAAGTGCAGGCAGGACCAGCCCAGACCTCTGGTGGTCCCCTACGGGAGCAGAGAGCAGGTGGGCTATTCCAGTGAGTTTTGTCTGTAGTCCCCTCCAGACTGGACAGCCTAAGAGAGGCCAAAGGGGGGGGGGAAACACCCTTTCCCCAAAAGAGAAGTAACCACATCAACAGATGCACAACTAAAATACATCCACAAATTATAGGTTGGAGTTTAGCCTATAAACCCTGCTGCTCTGACTCCCCAGAGCAAAAACTCAGTTTTTGTTCTCCTAGGGGAAACAAAGCTTCAACTTCAGTAGGCACAGAGCTGATGGGGCTTTGAATTTGCCCTTTTTACTGCTAATAAAATTTGAGAGTCCCATCCCAGACTAAAAATCTCATCTCACCTTCCAGCACTGGTCCAAGTTTTCTGGCTTCACTTGGAAGTCACTAAAGCTGATCTCCCCACTAGCACCTGGGATCCCATGTCCTCTGACTGCTCAGTGATGTCGCCCTGGAAATTCTCTCCTTGCTTCTCTGCACCAGTCAACGCTTCTGATCCCTACTGAGTTATCTCCATCAGAGATCCAGATGCCATTAGTTTTTGGATTGGGGCCCAGGGATGGCTCTCAGCTCACAGAGTGGCTTCTGTGCAGGAAACACAGAGCAGGTGTGAGGCGGGCCTATCACTCTGGCGCTGGCCTGCAGGGAGTCCCAAAGGCTGTTGTTTCCCTGTTAGGTATCACTCCACTCTGATCTCCCCTCTGCAGATAAAGCCTGAAGCTTTGCCTCTAGTCCCCATCTCCTATCCTTTCATCCTCAGGGCTCCTTCCCATCATGACCCAGGGTGCCCATGTTGGGGGGACCAGGGCCAGTTTAGGGCTCCTCCTTCTCCACTTGCCAGAAACGCCAGCCTCCTGCTGGGGCCTGCTTTACCTGGCAGCACTACCTCTGTCTCCCCGTGGGCTCCTCCCACAGCACAAGCTCTGTCTCCCCGTGAGCTCCTCCCGCAGCACCAGCTCTGTCTCCCCGTGGGCTCCTCCCACAGCACCAGCTCTGTCTCCCGTGAGCTCCTCCCACAGCACCAGCTCTGTCTCCCGTGGGCTCCTCCCACAGCACCAGC